AAAAAAAAGAATATTTTTCAATTCATCTTCGACCAATCAATCATCACAATTCATTACAATGACAATTCTCTGAAAACATTTAGAGATAAAGATGAATAATGACGCATATACAATGATTCAGATAAGTCGAAACAAAATATCAGATTATTCTAAGTCACTGACTTTTGAACCGCCTAAAAACTGGCCATTCCTTTGTAGAGCTTTCTTTACATCACTTCGTTGTGTGAACGTTACAAACGCGAAAGCTCTGTGATTGTCGCGACTGATTTTGATACCCTTCAAACGAATCGGACTGAACCATTCTTTGAGACTTTTCTGTTTGATTGTTACCGGTAAGGCTTTTACTATCAACGATAAAGTTGTGTCACCTTCAATATGATTTCATTCGTTGCTTTACATTTACATTTTATACATCATTGTATTTCAGCATGCTATAAAAGAGGTGGTTTCTTCGGGGACACAAACGTCCAATGGGAAGTTCTCAACAATTTCGACAGTGATGGAAGAATTTGTCTGAAGAAATTTTTGGGAAACTGTGGATATAGAAAGCAAATAGTTGACAATTTAGAGTGGAATTGATCACGCCTCTCAAGAAACTCAAAAATAAATCCTGAAAGAGATACTACCTACCGTCTACAACCGACTGAAAAAATGAACAATTGAGTAATTGGAATGAATGGGTAAAGTGATGAAAATGATAGAAAATTTATAAAAATTGTCGAATTTTATAAACATGTTATCCAATTCGATGAAAAAGCTAAACAATTCAATAACCTGAAATTCCTTCAAGTAATTGATTGAGCAAACCATCTTCATCTTCTTCAAACTGGCTATCAATATGTCCTTTAACAGTAGGTTCATCATCCTGCAAACCCAAATCGTTCAATTTATCACTGATCGATCGAAATCAACGAAAGAATCAATGAGTTATAATATGATATGTAAATAATAGGTAACTAAATAAACAACGCAATAATCTTGATCTATAGGAACAAATACAGATAGTTCCAACTGAATTACATATTCACGAATAACTCACAGCCTCAAGAGCTTTCACTTTGCTGTTCTGTGCGGCTAAAAAGTCCTTGAATTGTTTATCGTCAGAATACAATTTCGACTTCTTTTTTAGTGGTTTGCCATCTTCATTTACTGGCGACCCTTCCTTTTGATTGTTTTGACTTTGATTGTTATTGTCATCGGGATGAGCTCGCTTATATGCACTAAAATAAATTGATCAGTTATGATACAACTTCAAATTGAATAATTTAACTGAACAATTGTAGATGTGTATAGATGTGATTGTTAATGTATGAAAATTAAACGATTGCTGAATTAAATGAAACATTGCTGACCTGCTACCAATAGCATACTTACTCCAGGCTCGTGGTTTTGCTTCATCCCCAAACGGTCTACATTCCTCTACCTATCCAAAAATTTCATCAATTAACATTCAATATTCCTTGAACAACTCTTTTATAACTTCGTTTCAAAATTTCTTTTCAACTGCTCAGTTTCATTACGCAGAAGATCCTTTTTTAATCATATAGATTACGGTAGGTTGAAGTGATTCTTCAGAAACGCTCTGTGAACAATATATCCTCTAGCATATGGTGAAAACAATTGAAATATCTCGAAGAATGATAATCATATTTGTGATAACATATCATATATGTACCTGTATTTTTGAAGTATTAAGGAAAGTATTATTGAGTTGATCGATCGCTTTTTCAGCAGATTGTTCGCTTTCATAGCCAACAAACGCGAAACGTCTAAATTTTCCTTCCTTTGTAAACTTCAACGTACAATCGGTCAATTTACCGAATTTCTCAAACTGTGCCCTCAGTTTTGCTTCCGTACAAGTGGATGGTAATCCTTTAACGATCAATCGTGACATTGTCTTCGACTCTTAGCAAAATGCCATCGA